AAAGATCTGAACATTACTTAATCTTATTCTTTTTCAGGAACATTGGCAGAGCGGAAAACCCTTAAGAAAACAGCAATCCCAAGCATTTTCCAATGGATTCAAGAAACTCCAAAATCAATAAATGATATTAAGAGAGACAAAAGACATAAAGACCGGTTACTTGAAAAAAGAAATTTATTGATAGAATTTAAAAATTCATGCTTAGACATAAATAGTAATGAAATTATAAATGAGGAGAATGCACTTGTTCTTGATAGTGATTTAGTAGTAGGGAATGAAGAAATAATTACAGATTGTTCAGATATTATTGTTAATGAACCAGAATTGATGGATACTAGTATTCCTGTGGAAAAACATGTGTCAGTAGCTTCACAAACACTAAAACACAGAATGTTTTCTGCTGAAAATTTCAGAAATGACACAGCTGGATTGCATTTTTACACAGAAGTTGAAAATATTGAGAAATTTTTCTTTATTTTATACACACTTGGACCTTCAGCCTTTTGCCTACAATATATTTTTCACAATGTTGTGAACATTAGTGTTCCTGATAAATTTTTCTTGGTTCTAATGAAATTAAGGCGACATACCACTAACTTTGAACTGTCAAGAATGTTTGAAATGTCTGAAAAGGCCGTGCAGAATATTATAATTACATGGATCAACTTTATGGCAAAGCAGTGGGGTGAAATAAACATTTGGCCATCAGGTGATCTTGTAAGATATTATGCACCAACCAGCTTTAAAAAAAATTTCCCGAGTACTCGAGTTATAGTGGACGGCACAGAATTTCCTATAAAAAAACCTAAAAATCCAAAATCACAACAGAAAACTTTCTCCACTTACAAAAACAGGAATACTGTAAAGGTTCTTGTAGGCTCTACACCTGGTGGATTGGTTTCATTTATTTCACCAGCATATGGCGGAAGTGCGAGTGATCGTCAAATAACGGAGCGCAGTTCTTTAATGACCAGTTGTGATCCGTATGATAGCATAATGTCAGACAAAGGTTTCAGTGTACAAGACCTCTTTGCAACTCAAAATGTTGCCATCAATATGCCTACATTCTTTAAAAAGAAAAACAGATTGACAGGAGAAACTGTGATAAAAGATAGAAAAATTTCGAGCAAAAGGGTTCACATAGAGCGAATTATTGGGCTGGCAAAAACTTTTAAAATTTTAACTGAACCAATGACAGCAACAGAAACAAAACTGTCAACTGAAATAACTTTTGTGTGTTTCTTCTTGTGCAATTTCAGAAAATGCATAGTTTCCAAAAATGCTTGAATAACTTGTAAAGTTCTTCTAAGTAAATTTTAATAAGTTTATATTTTCTTGTGTGACTTTGTACAAATAACAATCAATCAATCATATAAAAATAAGATGTGGTATAATCGCCAGTTTTGCAAGACAACTATATTATATATATACATGTACATGTATATATCAGTCTTCATGATAAACTTTTAAATCTACATGCCCGGAGCTCAATTTTTGGAAAATTTTAGTTCGATTCTGTTGGCCTGTAGAGATGATTTTTTACAGGCCCAACAGCAATTTTACAATCCTGGGCTGCTGGGCCTGTGGCTAAGCGTGAAGACATATATATATAGCTATCAACCAGAACCAAAGGACATGAACTTAAGCATATATACCAGGAGGTCATTTATTTAATATTGATAGCAATAAATTTAATGCCTTTTTAGAAGTTTACCTAATAAATGCCGGGAAAGATATCCACCCCCTTTTCTATAAAAGGGTTTGGAGTCCAATATTTCATGGCTAATTTTATTTAATTATTGTTGACAAATGCAAACATCTTTCTGAACATGCATGAAATAGTAGCCACTGGACATTAAGCAACCAACAATCAATCAATCAAATGCAAACAGTACCAATTGACTTAACCGCAAAACTTAACCAATCACTCATGCATAAAGGGGAAGGTTGAGCACAGTTTGGTTTCTGAACAAGTTCAATCCTGCCACAGTCAGTGCCGGTCCAAAATCAGAAGCATGTAATACAGTCGTGGTATAGTTACAAATGAGACAACTATCCAAATGATGTGGATATATTAATTATAGGTCACCGTCAACAATGAGAAAAACACATAGCTTAGTCAGTTATAAACAGTCACTTCATGAACTAGAATCTCTAAAGAACTGAAGTTGCTCACCTAGGTCTACATGTATGTGCGTCTTCAACAATTGACACTCTCCAAAATTATAGACTAGATATAGAATTCATGACAAAAATCCCTATTTTTTTTATCTTGTACAATGTACATGTATTGATATTTTTTTTCTGTTTACACTCTCTGTCTTGCTGATCAGTTTTCTATTAAGTCTGAATCTATCTTTTATGGGTTTCTAAAGAATAAGACAATAATATAAAAAATTTGTATGGGTTCCAGGGAACCAAATGTCTCGCCTACTTTTGCTGTTAGTCGCAGGCTCAACAAAAATGGGGAAATAATTATTAAAAATTTTCCTCTAGATACTATCTTTTGAATGTAAGAAGCTTCTGTTCAAGTTTGGTAAGAATCCAGGATGGTTTATGAATCTAATAAATGTTTTAAAAACTTTAACTGCAGACTGTATGTAATGTTAACTGGAAGAAAAACTTCAGTCCATTTACAGTGTATAAGTAATATACGGAAAAACAGGAAATTTTTTTTTACAAAATTTCCTTCTAGATACTAGCTTTTGATCATAAATAAGCTTCTGTCCAAGTTTGGTACAAATCGAGGTTAGTTTAAGAAAGTTATTAAAATTTGAAAAACTTTAAAAAACAGAGTGAATATTTGTGGACGCCGCCGCGGCCGACGGAATGTAGGATCGCTATGTCTTGCCTTTGAGACAAAAGTTGCAGGCTCGACAAAAATTGAAAAATTAACCATGAAAAAGTTAGTCTTACTCATATAGCTGCCAGACAGACAATGTGCATCCTACAATCACTGCTTACGCCAAATACAGTCGACCTACTGCTTATAATAGTATCCAAGAAGGGTAAGCAAATCCTGTTTCACATATGGCACTAGTTATGTTACTCATCTTCAAAACTTCAGGTAGTGCAAAACAAAAATAATCTCTTAAATTTTAATAAATAATATTAATAAAACTTGTAAACATACATTGAGCATACAACATGTAATAAATATATAATAAAATTATTTAACATGCAACCATAAATTTTAAAATTAAACTTAACAACTTACAACATATAGAGTTGCGTAGACTTCAAAACTCTTTAGTTTACTGACTAGATAATTGTTTTATATATCACAATACAACTTGATTTCAAACTCTACAAAATTCATTTTGTAATTTAGCATGATTTAATAAACTGCTTCGCTGAGCACAGCTGGATATGCCCGCAGAGGTCCAACCCTGAACAGTTGGGGCAAAAATGGACACAATATTAAAGCTTGATACAGGTCTGAATTTGGATTGTAATTAAATATTTGACATAATGTAGGTTTCTGAATAAATGTAGTCAAAGAACTTGAAATTGGTTATATGAATTGAATTTATATTCAATTAAAGATTTCTTGCTGTTGTGCAATACATTGTGCTGTTGCACAATACTTAGTAAATCTGTTGTCAGCTTTAAACAAATAAAGTAAGTAATGAGAACTGCTGAAAGCATTTTTGAGTTATTGTCCAAAAACTGGAAAATCCAACCCTTTTTTAATGAATAAAACCCCATAACTCAGAAATGTAAAATCTAAAATTTATAAAATTCTAAAGGAAGCTTACATCAACAGATATAAACAATTCACCAAAGTTTCATGAGAACTGCTGAAAGCATTTTTTAGTAATTGTCAGGAAACTGGAAAATCAATACAAGAGTGCACACACTGAAATGTCTCGCCTTCTTTACTAATCATTGATATTATGTTGATAGACCTAAATATAAAGCTTTATTACAACTGTCAAATAAACTTAACATTAACCAAGTAAACTAAACATTGACCAATGAACCACAAAAATGAGGTCAAGGTCAGATGAACCATGCTAGGCAGGCATGTACAGCTAACAATTCTTCCATACAACAAATATAGTTGACCTATTGCTCATAGTTTAAGAAAAACAGACAAAAACACAAAAACTTAACACTGAGCAATGAACCTTGAAAATGAGGTCAAGGTCAAATAAAACCTGCGTGACTGACATATAGATCATAAATTATTTCCATACACCAAATATAGTTGGTATTAGAAAAAAAGACCAAAACTCAAAAACTTAACTTTGACCACTGAAACATGAAAATGAGGTCAAGGTCAGATGACACCTGCCAGCTAGACATGAACACCTTACAATCATTCCATACACCAAATATAGTAGACCTTTTGCATACAGTATTAGAAAAAAAGACCAAAACTCAAAAACTTAACTTTGACCACTGAACCATGAAAATGAGGTCAAGGTCAGATGACACCTGTCAGCTAGACATGTACACCTTACAATCATTCCATACATCAAATATAGTAGACCTATTGCATACAGTATAAGAAAAACAGACCAAAACACAAAAACTTGTCTATAACCACTGAACCATGAAAATGAGGTCAAGGTCAGATGACACCTGCCAGTTGGACATGTACACCTTACAGTCCTTCCATACACCGAATATACTAGACCTATTGCTTATAGTATCTGAGATATGGACTTGACCACCAAAACTTAACCTTGTTCACTGATCCATGAAATGAGGTCGAGGTCAAGTGAAAACTGTCTGACGGGCATGAGGACCTTGCAAGGTACGCACATACCAAATATAGTTATCCTATTACTTATAATAAGAGAGAATTTAACATTACAAAAAATCTTAACTTTTTTTTCAAGTAGTCACTGAACCATGAAAATGAGGTCAAGGACATTGGACATGTGACTGACGGAAACCTCGTAACATGAGGCATCCATATACAAAGTATGAAGCATCCAGATCTTCCACCCTCTAAAATATAAAGCTTTTAAGAAGTTAGCTAACGCCGCCGCCGGATCACTATCCCTATGGCTATGTCGAGCTTTCTGCGACAAAAGTCGCAGGCTCGACAAAAACCATGTAACTCGGAAACATTAAATCTAAAACTTATAAAAATCCAAAAGGGAATAAACAATTCATCAAAGTTTCATGCATATTGGTTTAAGCTTTTTTGAGTTTATGTCCAACATGTTGACGACGGACAGACGATCAACGGTATACCATAATACGTCCCGTAAAGGGCGTATAAATATAAAGATATGTGTGTTCAGGTGTAAAAAGGTCTACATCTCTGTTGCAAACAAAACTGAAGGACAAGAGTGCACATGCTTTTAATAATGTGGAACTATACCTCTTTATAGAAGTATTTTTTTTAGAATTGCTGGTTTAAAGTACCTGGTGTAAAATTCATGTAGCTTGCTGAGCATTTGAGCTATAAATGCATCATCTTTCATTATACGAAAACATTTACTGTCACAAAGAGTATATACAATAAAATCACAATAAAGGCGATTTGAACAGTATAGCTGACCCTGAACCTGATAATAGTAATTGTGATTATGATTGAGATGCAAAATGTCATCAGTTATAGAAAGATAAGGCACTGTACTTGCAGATACGATCTTGTCTCTTGCAGAAAACGGACACTTTACTTCAACTATAACCTTATCTGATACTACTCCATCAGGTGAGGATCCAAGAAATGGCAAATGCTTAGAAACAAAAATACCACAATCTGTAACACTGCATTCAGTTTCTCTTTCATATTCTTTGATAGCAATGTTTTCATATCTCTTACCATATTCTGTTGCTTTAGACTTGAATATTTTTGGATCAATAATTTCCAAAGCTACTTTTTCTGGGTCTGACCTATCAGTAAGTTTACAAATTCTCCCAAAATTAGAGGACTGCAGTCGTTTTTGTCTCTCTATATGCCATTGTTTATTGGCCTGTTGTCCTCGTGTCTGTTGTTCATTTCTTGAAATATGTTCATCATTCATAGTTATAAGCCCAAATTGATTTAAAAAGATATCTTCAGGACATTTCTGTAGATAATCATGATCATGAGCTAAAGCTCTTATGTTGCAAGGTTCAAAAAGTTGATTTATTGGCATGCAAGAAAAGGAAATTGCGGCAAAGTTAATACATGAATTTCTAAAAAATGCTTCATACGAAGAACTGTTTATAAATTCTGGTTTACGAGGTTCATAAGAAATATTTGTGCTTTCATCAGCTCCTGGAATATTTATATCCTTTGCTTTTGCTGGAGAGCCAGTGTATTTTTTTCACTTTGTGAAATGATTGTAACTTTTCAGTACATGTATTTTCCACTAATACAGAACCTTTACTAGAAAATACATGAGCCCCATATATAACTGCAGCAACATGTTTACAGTGAGCATTTGGGCCCATACCTGCCCCACATTCACATTGTGCTTCTAAAATCTGTCCGTCAGAACTTATACAAACATCAACTGTGTACACAACAGATTTTTTCATTTCAGCTCTACATCCACTTTTTAAATAATAACAACTTTCTTCGTCACTTTTGAATAATCTCATGTAACACAAGTATTTTTCTTTATAGAGGTTAATGGGTGTTTGATCAAGCTTCTTTTCAAACAATCCCAAGTACAATTTAAGATCATCGACCTCCACTTTTGCAAATTTTCTGTCACTATTTAAATCTTTGTACACCATAGCATCTGGCAATTTCATTACATATTCTGACGAAACAGGGTTGTCACATTTTCCAAAATTAAAGTTTCTTTCATAGGCTTCCAATCTACAAAACATAATCAATAAATCAAGCTTTTTAAAGAATCTATTTTTCTTTCATCTGTTTTATTTTACCTGGTGTTTATTTGAAAATAAGTAATCCGTTTTGTAATCTGTTTGTAGAAAATTCTTCAGGCCCTACATGAAAAGTTGAGATCTCAAAAACTATTTTAATCTTTATTTCTTTTTGTACATGTTTTTTTCAATGTCTCAACTCAGTTAATCAAATGTTTTGTTTCACTTGCTGCATTCAAAACTTTTAAGCTCAAGACAATTAAGAGTTGTATAGAGTAACATGGACAAGCACCTGTTTATAATATTATTGAAGATTGTATGTTGCCCTCTTGGCTCTAGATTTTCTTTTATTTCTATTGTTGGAATGCTGTCAATCAAGTCAATTAACATACATGTATATATTTAGTTGGTTTAGTGAATTAATAATTTATTTAAAAATACAATCACCATGAACAATTAATGAAGGCATGATCATGATGCTGAAGTTCAAATTTGGATAACATTAAACAATCATTTAATCATTTTTAATGTAAAATTATTCAAATAGCCCTAACTCTATTTTTTATATTGTTGTTTGAGTTAACATTATAAACAGTCCAGGTTTAACTTTATCATGTTTACAGACTTGACTTAATAATTGGTCCAAGTTGTCCAATATTTTCTTTCAAGAACAAACATTTTGTAATATGACAGCAAGTGTTATTGGGTCATTACAAGTGTTATTCGGATAATAACGGTGTTATTCGGTCATTCGTGTTACCCTAACTGTGCAGTAAGGGATTTAACTCTATAGAGTTATTACAGAAAATATCTTACATGTGTTATTACAGATATTTTTATGAGTTGTCTACTCTTTAATCCTTAAATTTTCTAAATCTGTAATAACATATGTTTGTTATTTGTAAAATAAATCACCAACATTTTAATTTTTAGTGGACTCTAGGGAACTCTAGAAAGTTTGCACAGAAACTAAATGCATAGCCTTGATAACTTATTTTTGAATTAAATTAATACATTTATCATTAACCATGGTAAATCAATGAGACGAGGCTTTCAAGTGATAATCTTAGCTGTAATAACAAGGCTTAGTTATTAAAGGCATGTAGCTTATTATATGAGGCACTTGGGAATTACTAGGAAGCTTGCACAGAACCTCATTACATGCTCTGATCATTATTTCTTACAATGAATTAAAATATATTGTAATTAAACATGATGTATGTCTGAGCAAATGCTTTGGAGTGATAAATAGAAGCTGTAATAACACCCTTTAGTTATTACAGGCATATTTTTTCTGTAATAACATAGGTGTACTATGCATGATTGGCAAAATATGAACTGCTTTATCTTTCTATAGTTAAGTATACATAAAGACAACAGTAATATCAATAAAACTTGTATACATTTTATCAAAACTAATGATGTTTATTGTCCCTTTGAAACATGTAACATACATGCATACAGAATACATACATGTACTGTACATATGTTATCACAGGTCTTTGATTTTTTAGTCCACAATAACAAATGTATGTTATTTTTCTCTAATAACCCTATAGAGTAATATCTTTGACTGCCGTGTTACTGAGGTGATACATGCATTTAAAAAGGATTATACTGTTGGTATGCAAAGAAAATGTGATATGTAGTTCCCTGCTTAACCCCTCCCCTCCCCTAACCTAAATAAGCCTCTGCCATTTATTTTCAATTGCATTTGACAGTCTCTAATATTCAATTACGGTTAAATGCGCTAGATTTTTTAAAAGGGAAAAGATGACAAGAATCGGTCTCTGGTTTATATGAAATAAAACTTGTTTCGTCAAAATTTCATGATTGGTACAGCCGTCGTCGTTAAATTTTTAGGTATACATATGTTTATTTCAGTACTATCATTTTTCTTACCGTTCAATTAATTCTTTCTTCCTCCCTGACACTTTAGCATGTCTCTTCTTTAATTCATTCCGCAACTCAACGAGGGAAAGAGAACAGTATTTTTCCATCGTCCGCCAAGGCGGAAGTGTAAACAAACAACCAATGTGATCGCAACGCCACCTATGCCGTAAAGGGAAATAAATCACTCCGGTTTCTCATTGATGGCTCACAATATTTCGGGCCTTTGGATAACACATTTCGCAGAGAAGTGTTATTGACAATGTTTAGGTCACCAGTAATAACATGGCCGGTCGGATAATATACGAATTGGGAACTAGCAAAGGTGCAATGAGGAGGTTTATACTTGACGTCGTCAATATTGAAATCCTGTAACACGTGTTTCAAATTGATAAATTTTCACAATTTTTATATTCAAGCTATAAGAAAACATTTATCAAAAATACAAGGCTCGTAGTTTTGTATGCCAAGCGTGTTTTTGTTTCAAAATAATATTAGTTGGTTAAAGATTACTCAATTGATACTTTATTCACCTATTGTTAGTCAAAGACACAAATGATTGGGTTGGAATTGTGTACTAATTTATAACCTTTTCCATGCCATACCCGTAGTTGTAGTTGTATGTGTGTTAGTTGTATGATTTATTCTAACATTTTTGAAGTGAAACGCAAAACGATTATATGCTCCACCGAAAACAATCATTAATTTGCGCAAAAAGTAGACCAAAACAGTTTTCGTTGTGTTAACATCATATTATCAAACAGCGTTTTTGTTTACATCTACTGAAATTGACTCATAAAATTTTTTATATAGGTATATAGTTGGTCTTTGTGCAGCATAACATGCTATAAATTAAGCCTTTATGGGATTTGCATACCACACGCACATTCGTCCTCATTACAGATCATCTGTTGACCCTGAATCTTTTTGTAAATTCAAGAAAGTAATAACGTTGCTGCATCATTGTTGTTTATTCCACTCTTTTCACGTTGCATTATTTTTTTGCCATAAATTTGACGGTTTTCGTGCTAAATTATTGTAACTCAAACCTAATAAAAAGAAAAGTAATTATTTGCATACCAATAAGTCTCATTGAGTGTTATATATCTTTGACTCACAATTAATCTTAGACTTGTGTATTTTCATGTAATATTTTATTATTTTACATATGTATACAGTTCTCCTGGAACTAGACCGCTGTATGATAACACGGTCATTGGTCTAATGTCCGTTAATAATACGGATCATATTTGTTAAATCTACCAACACTATTATATGTCATTCATGAGACGTGTTGAATAATGACAATAGAAGTAAGCATTTACCTTAAAAAACAATATTAGATCGTAACAGAAAACGATATTGTATGTATCTGAAGTGAAAAATAATTATTTTTGTATTTATATTTTCCTACAATGTAGTATTACCAGTATCAACATGTACAGTATCAAACTCATCTTTCTTAATTCTTCGAGTTTGGCATCGCATCATTATACCATTCTGATTCTTTAACCCTATAGTAATGATAATTATTGTATAAAGTCGCTATCATCAATAATGCCGTCTTACAAACTTATATCACTAGCTGTGTAGCATCTGGGTGGGTCTAATGAAATGTAAACATTTTTTGTACAGAATTTCAAACCAGAAATAACACAATATTTTTCTTGTTAAAAAAAGTGATGGGCAAATCAAAATATGAGTCGAAAGAAGAAATTAGACGATATCATTATTATTCAAATTTCTAAACATATAAGCATAGGATTTCAAAAATAGGAATACTAGCCAAGTTTGCCGGCAAAATTCGCAAATTGATATCACTAGAGAGATTTTTTTTAAATTTTAGAATAAGTAAGTTAATTTATTAAACATGTTGTTGAAATTCAATAGAGGAAAAAGCGTTGCAAAATTAATTTAGAAAAAGAATACATAAAATAAATACAAAATACTTTTTAAACTTATTTTGGGGCATCGATTTGGCGCTTTATTTCCAAGTATATAGGGGCCTCGGTGGTAATCACTAGCTAGTCAACACTGAGGTTGTGAGTTCGAACCCCGCTCCTGCGGGTGCACTCGACTCCAATCTTAATTGACTAGAATTGTCAGTTTTTCCTATCGAAGATCGGTGGATTTCTCCGGGCACTCCGGCTTCCTCTACCAATAAAAACTGGCCACCACGAAATATCCCAAAAGCGGTGCTTAAAACTGGCGTTAAAACACCAAAAATCAAAAGTATATACATGTACCAGTAAATAATCAGGATTTTGTTAATTTCGTCATTTTACTTGATTTACTGTCATTTAGTTGTTGTATATATATTCAGCAGTATTATACCGATGTTCAAATCTCTTAACTCGATTAAGAAGACAAAGTTAAGTAACAACTGAGATAATCGCATTTACTCCAAAAGGAGAAAGACCGGATGCATCCGTCGGGAGAGAAAGACCGAATGCGTTCGTCGAGGGATAAAGCGTTTCCTGCTATGCATACATCATCCGAAGCCTCACTCAGTCAAAATGTCACTAATCAGACTATCATAGTATCTTGATATCTACGACTGAGAAAACCTTTCGGCGACAAGTTAAGAGACAGACATGTCGTATCCTTCATCCAATTCAAATGGTGACTGTAAAACCTATGTAGTGTCGATTTCAGTCGCTATTTATAATTTGTTTAAGATATGAAAATGATATAAACCAAAACTACACTGTTTTATTAAGGATGTATTCTGCTGACGTTTCAGTCTCGTTGAAATCTCGTTCTGGATTATTTCCAAAACATGTGATACAAGTGGAAAATATCAATGAATTTAAAAAAATGTTATAATCAAACTTAACTCAGTGAAACAATTGTGTATTTACAATAAGTAGTTTTTGAGTAATACATTTTTCAAATTTTATTACCAATCTAGTCAGTCTTTTTAGCCAAAATTTTGAGAAAATGGGTGAGGGGTACAAGAAATGATTTTACCAGAAAAATGTACATCCCATATCACTTTTTTCTTTTCAAATTTCTTAGATATGTATTTTTTCAATCATTTATAACAAAGAAGTTGAAATAATATGCATTTTGTTCTTAAAATAGAGAAAAATCACAAATTTACAAAATTGACAGCATGGTAAATTTGACACAAAAAAGCATCAAAATATGATAAAACTTTCTTATATTAACACTTACCTATAGTTTTTTTAAGTTAAATTTATTCAGATTGGTCCACTGCATCTTTATTGAAAGTATGAAAAAAAGTTTGATTGTGGAACTGTGATTTTTTTCACGATATTAGCCAAAAAATGGGTTAACATTGATGAAAATGAGAAAATCATCAAAATTGGATACTTTCAAAGGGCCGTAGCAAAAAAAAGAAATGCACCATCATATGATTTTTTCTTCACCAATTATTTTTTTACAGTCATATCAACCCAAAAAGTCAGGTTAAGAAAAAAAGTTTAATTCTAGAAATTTTTGGCTCCTCAGAGGTGTACTTCCTTAAAGGACTTAGATTTATCGTTTGATCCTAAAATCAGAAAAAGGGTGATTTAATGACCAATTTGGCACCACATCGAACCTTACTCATATCCTGTTCATATTAAATAATAAACCGGGCTTGGTATAGGTTATGGAAAAAAATAGCTTTTAAGGTTGAGAATTTCTTCAGTTTTTGAATTTTATGTTATTTTAGAATTGAACTTTTGACTTTTAACTTAATGCATGTTTATCCTAATAATTATTTTAAAAGATGAACCAATTCAAAAAAAGAATATGAGTAAACAGTTATATTATGGGCCGATATTTTTTTATAATTATGATGACGTCCGTAAAACTTTCGAAGGGATGACTTCAACTTTACCATTTGGAACAATTGATGCAATAGCTTCCTCGTAAGCAGTAAATAATAATAAGAAACGCAAGCTCTGAAATATTGTATCAACTGGGAGATATATTTTCCAAATACAGATCCTGCTGGCCATGGGATGTTGCTACAAAGAAATGGAATATTCCCAATTGGAAAATGAATATCATCTCTTTTGTCGTAAAGTTTAGTTTTCAAACGACCCTCAGAACTGCCAGAATCAGTTCTAATATAACTGTTGAAACTACGACTGTTGAAATGAAGAATTGTCTAAGACTGTTCGTTCTAGGTTAGAATTGTAGAATCAGTACTAGGTAAGCATTGCACAAAAAACTGTCCTAGGATACAACCGCTTCTGTAAGAACGGATCCTCACTGCATATTGCTACATTTGTCATCAGTTCTGGAGTTTTCGTTCGTACATATCCTTTTATTAAAAAGGATACCCTTGTAAGGAAGGCCATCGAAGTAGTTTTTCTAGGTAAGATTATTGTGAAGTAGTTATACTGATATGAGGTCGTGAAGATAGAATCATGTCAATTAAATAAAATGAACACAAACAGCAAAATATTGTTTATATATTTATAGATTGAACTTTCACTTATCGAGGAATAATCCGTCACGTTATAATAAATGTGTGTGGCGCAAATTTAAATTTACACATTGCATAGGCTGATGGATAATGAGATTAAGAATTAATAATTCAGTTTAAGCCCCAAAATATACTCCAACAGCCTGATTAATATTGAAGAAAAAACTCCCCTTACCTCAGACAAAGTTTCAACAACCCAATATAAGAACTGAACAAAACCCAAAAAGGCTCGTTTCATCAGATCGATACAAAGCATAAAAAAAAAACAACTAACAAAAAGGACAAAAGACATAAAGAAACGAAAATTAGCAGTTACTGAAAATTAATTGCCTGTTTTATTAGAATTATTGTTTATATTACCATCTTTTGGTATCTTCTGCATATTTTGTTATAACAGGTTATGTCTTATACTTAATTGAATGCTGCAAGTTAATTGCTTAATCAAACGAATCATCAAAATAAACAACTCTACTGTGGATAGGGAAGGTGAAACTAAGGTTGTATTTATATAGATTCCACCACTGCATCAAGTGTTTTATGATATTTCTCCACCCGAGACAATTAAATCTAAATATTTAAAGAGTGAGGCTTGCCGAGCGTTTTAAATAATTAAAATTTAACTGTTGAAAGTCGAGAAATATCGTAATACACGAGTTATAAAGGTTGAATCTGATTCACTAATTATTTTTAGACGATATCTAAACAAAGATTTACAGAAAGTTGTGTTC